TGCTGCAGCAGGATGTGCTCACCTTTAAGAAACCCATGGCACGTGCTCACCAGAGGCACCCTAATGCTGCCCTCTGCAACACGACAGGGCAACCCTTGCTCTCCCAGAAAAGCACAGGCCCATCCTCCACACTCTTCAAAGCTCCTGATGACTTTGTGGAGATTTGAACTAAAATTTTGGGGAAGGGATGGAGCATGCGAGCATCATTTTTGTTCGTGCTCTGCTGTTACAGTTCATATAGTTCCCATAACGGGAAGATTCCCCTAAGGGAAGCCCTCCCTAGGCATTCAGTCAGCATCCCATCAGAGACTGAGTAGTACTTCCACCTCTACTCAGCAGTGGTGAAACCCATCCGCAGTGCTGGGTCCAGTTCTGGCCTCAGCAGTACAAGGAAGACATGACAATACTGGGGTGAGTCCAATGAAGGGCCAAGACTGGAGCATCTCTCATATGGGAGGGACTGACACAACTCAAGAGGAGAAAACTCAAGGGAGAGCTTAGATAAGAAAGAAAACATAAGAAAAACCCCTTTTTTTTTACTGCAAGTGTGATTGAACATCAGAACAGTTTGCCCAGGGAGGTTGTGGAGTCTCCATTCTTGGATACATTCAAAACCCAACCGGACACAGTCTTGGGTAGACTGCTCCACCGACCCCGCTTTGAGCAGAGGGGTTGGACTAGGCAATCTCCAGAGGTGTCTTCCCACCCCTGTGCGAAGTCTATGACTCTGGGATTTCACTTGCACTCGGGCTGGTCTTATTTCTTGCAGCCTTCATTTGTTACTACAACATACACAGGTTGGGCTGGGCTTCTTGCATTTTACTCTGTATTTCTGTGACCCGGAATTATAATTTATATATTTTAACTGTTAAAACACTTACTTGAAAGAGACAAAAACAAATATCTGGGACAGCTAGTAAAGACCTAGATTTCTAGGAACTAATGCTCGGCATTGAAAAATTCTTATACAAAAATAAAAATATATTTTAGGATGAAATATTCATTTGCTTTTGTGGCAGGGGAAATCAGCTGTAGCACAGACATCAGAATTAAATTACCAGGTTTCTCATTGTCCTTCCTTTTTAAATTGAAATTACGGGATCTTTAGGGTGCTGCTTTTTATATGATTTTATGGAGCTTAGAGTAATAGGCCCTGAGCTTGCTTAATGATAACAGGAACTATAATGATCCAAGTAATAGAGTAAAATACAGAAGACAGATTTCATGGTGCCTTAATCTGAGAGGCACTTATTTTAACCCTTTGGTGAGAGCATAAGATGCTTTTCTGAACTCCACATCAGTTGGCAAGGATAATTGCAGTGGCACATAATTGCGGTCCATATAAATGTGTACTTTGTTCTGTCTTCATTTAACGCACATATGACTTCATCCTGCAGTCTCTGAGGTGAACAGCACGCCCAAACGGAAGCAAGGGAAGAGAAAAGGGGAAACCAAGTTGAATCAATTATTGCCTTCAGCCTTGAGAAACTCGCACACTCGACCTGTCACTGCACATGTGCTGTGGTGGTTCAGGTCTTCTGCGCACACTGGAAGCACACTCAGGAGGTGCAAGCGAATTGCCAGGACATACTAAAGGCAGGATCTAGCCCTCACGGGCCTGCCTACAATGGCCAGTCATATAACCAAAAAGGTATATACTGAGAGCATTTGCAGTAACCTCTGGGCAAAAGTCCCTTCCCCAGACCTACTGCTTTTAAGCGACTTACTGGTGAAGAGTTAAAAAAAAAGCTGTGAATCGTGCTGCATATAGGTTGCTATCATGCAGGTGCCTTTAGAGGAGAGGTTGGCCTTTTGAATAGCTTGACTTTTCACTTAAAAGAATTACATTTAGCACTGGTGTCAAAAATTAAAAGGGTGATTGGTTTCAGAAAAGAGCAATGAAGACAATCAGAGCGTGTTTTCCTAAGAAAGATTTTAAGGTTGATTATTTGGATATGGCGTGAGACACATCTTGTGAGAAATGTAGCAATGGGCAGAGAGATCCAGCGGGTAAATTCACCATGGAGGGAGCTTTTCCCTCACGTTTTGAGAAAGTTGCAGGAGTCATCCACCAACAGCTCAGAAGACAAATTAATTTACATTGATAAATAGCTTGTGCAGGTACAGAAAGGCATTTCTAGAGTAATGAGGCAAAACTATTAATGGAAAACATTTTGGAGAAATGTCCTGACAGCAAATAGAAAGCAGTCTCACAGGAAAAGCAGAGAAATTCATCTGCCTGGCAAGTTTATGCTGCAACTGGACAGAGAACTAGGAATCTGCGATAGAGCACTCTGTTTCAATTAAAGAGATGAGCCAGAAGAGCTTCTAGCCTTTCCCAGCTTTGTGTTTTATGAGTACAGGTGTTACAGGCATGCAAAGTAGCATATCTTAATTGTCATCTGCAAATCAGACCAGTTCCACTTGTGTTTGGTTTAGCATACTGAATTTTGATGAAGTTTTCATCTGATTTCCCTCAAGGACAACAGTAGCATTTCCACTCATTCAAGAAGTCGAGCTCCTATGCTATTTCATTTACTATGGGCGTAGAGAATTTAAAGTGTGAATTAAAACAATGGAAAAGCCTTTGTGACATGACACAGGAGAGCAAACCTAGAACTTTGACAGTACAAATAGTTGTTGACTGCCAGGTCTTTACTCATACTCTGGTAAACTTCACTTTAGGAAGAGAAAGCTACACAAAATGCTGCTGGAGCCCAAGAACTTCAAAGCAAATGACATGGAAGTGCAAATCAATAGCGTAACCACATGAAACTTTTCAAGGGTATTTGATGCCTTCATGTGTTCATTTCAAAATGTTACCTCACAAATTCCCACTAACCCTATCTTTCTCAAACTCTAGCTATTTCCTGGGAAAAATCTAACAGGTCCTAGGGAATCATTGTTATAACCTTGAGATTTTTGTCAGAAGACGCTTGGAGAGTACGAAAAGCTTCATTTGAGCTGATCTTTTCTTTCAGTATCGTGCTTCCCGTGGAGAAAAGGTACAAAACTTCCACCCCACGCCTATTGCCTGCGTTACTTCAGCGCAGTCCTGGTGAAGCACTCCTCTGCAGGACACAGCTGGAGGAGACACAAGGCACGCACGGTCTGTTGCGTTATTTTGCTGAAATGTACTCTTTTTCAAGAAATGTGCACCTTGTGTTTACCCATCGGTAACGTTCTTGGTGAATTGTTGGAATTTTGGTTTTGCTATTACTTGCTGCTGCTGGTACCCTAACGCAGACACATCAGTCTTGAGACTGGATGCCAACTAGCGCTAATCTGTTTTCTTGCTTTGTGCTTTGTTAAACGTTGAAAATACCGCTGTTTTGCACTAGTCAGTAATGATGAGATCTGATTTGTCGATGTTGTAATGCTTTTATATAGTTCAGATCTTGGAGTCCTTAGTCAAATCATCTGAAGAAAAATATTTCTACTTTTTATTACTGCATAATCTTTCCTGTGCTGTATTACCTGATATGCAGTCATCATACATTCACTTGACAGTTCTGGTACGCAAGATACTTTAATAAAAATACCTTTAATCTTTCTGAAGTGGCCATATAAAGTAAAGTACATCATACCGTGACTCAACTACTACTTTAAAAGAGCATCATGCAAATGTCGCTGACCTCCTGTAAGGCTCCACTGCCTTTAATGAACTTTGGATCAGGCCAAGATTTCCTAATGTCAGAGTCTCAGGAAAAGTATTATAACAAGACCGCACTAACAGCATCCTTTCGACTGTTAAAATGCAAGAGAAAAGCTTCTTTTAAACGTTTTTGATAAAATATATTTCACAATGTTATGATACTGTAGCAAAAAAGCAACAGCATTTTAAAGCCGTTACTCTGGAAAAACGGTCTGTATGGTTTTAGATGTTTTCAAACACAACGGGTATGTTCCTTTCTAATGTTCACTACTTGTGAACTAAGGATTTGCGTCTGAAATGGATTTTTATCTTCGTTTGGTCATGTAGAGACACTTGCATTTTTCTGTGTTCCAAAGCCATGACAAACCAGACACGGTTGTCTTCTTTAATTAGAACAAACAACAGAAATCTTACTTAAAAATGTTTATTGTAAAAAAGTGGCTAGAAAACAACATAAATTTCACTTCACACTTTCTTCAAGTTATCTATAGATGCTGCTATAGGCAACAATTCACTTTCATTCATAGCACATTCAATCATATAAAAATAAAAATATTTACATTATGTCCACATACTTTACAAATCATCAATAAAAAAGGCACTTGGAGGGGTAATGCTGAAAATATTGCATTTCCTTTGTGCATTAAAAAAAATAATTGTCAAACTCCCATGAACCCCCTCTCTTGCACTTATTCCCGTTTTTTTAAAAAAAGATTAAAGTTTAGAGGAACTATTCCGTATTAAAAGATGGTCAAGCATGCACCAGGAATGTTTGAAGTTACAGTCTTTTTTTTTTTTTCAAAGGCACATGCGGTTAATTTGCGGCTTTAAATTTTTCGTACATTCTCTTACAGTTTTTTTCCTCTCTTAATTATGCAGTTTTAAAGCATTTCAGATCATTAATGAAGGCCTTGGCTTCTAATAAAATAAAATAAAAAACACAGCAATGAATAATATTAAACATTTACTAAGGTAAACTCGGAATACTTTTTAAGGCACCTGAGATAAATGGTGTCTAGCAAAATTCACTTGGGTAGTATTTTTATTAAAAGTTCCACTTAAAATACTGTCTCTTTGGTTGAAATGGCTTGGCAGGAATGTATTGTTAACTTTGCAGCCTTTTCTAGGCAAGAAAAGACGACCTACATTTGGCTTCATCTATAAAGAAAGCTGATAATGCTTCTTCCTTTAGACCTACTTGAAATGTCATGCCTGGTGTCTTTCCCCGTATTTCAAAAATCACACTTAAGAATGCGAATGTGTGACTGAGGAGAAACTACTTAAAGCTCATTTCTACTGACATTCTAAGTTCTTCCACTATTTCGTTTGTTTGGTGGTGTTTTGGTTTTTTTGGCTGAAAAGCAGATGAGAAAACGCCTTTGGATTTCCACTTATCATTTGGAACAGGAGTGGAGAAATGCATTGAGTCCAGGTAAACATTGACTGCATGACTCAGTGTGCTACACAGCAGCCAGATTCCTCATGTTTGTGCAGAAGAGACATTCTGGAGAAAGTTTTGGAGCAATTTTTGCACTGGTATTTCTTCACATCTGAGTGGGTCTGCAGATGAGCCCTCAGATTGGATCTGTCTGCAAAAGCCCTGTTGCAGTGAGGACAGGAGAACGGCTTCTCTCCTAAAAAGGAAACAACAAGGGAAAATAGGAGAAAGCTTTAAAAAAAGAAGTGCATGTTTAGGACAGATAAAACTTGGTTTTACCCTAAAACAAACCCAAATGAACAAACAGAAAGGATTTCTTATAATAAAGAATGTGTAATAGAAGGTTAATCAGGCCACAGATAGAAGAGTTTTCAGCACTGCTGACTGTGCTTGCAGAACTCGGTCTTTTCAGAATATGCTGCTAGGAGCAGTCTCCAGAGACAAGCTGCTGACACCTTCTGCATCTACAGGTGCAGGCAGTACTTTTAGGTTGGGCTCCTCCCAACGTATTCAAACATTTTCATAGAAGTTTTTCTGCTGAGCGCTGTGTGAATTACTGGGGACAAGAGCTTTGATTGAAAAGCAGCAAGCAGCTGTACAGACATTACACTGTACCCAGCGCTACACTCAAAATCAAGTTTTTGCCTGAACAGGAAAAAAACCAAACCACTTTGGGATGATGTATTTCTGGTTCTTAAGGGCTCAAGATAGCGCATATGAAACTTGCCAGCTGCTTAGGGAGTCAGAAAGCAGCCCCTCATGCAGTGCCTTTCTGGTTTTGCTGCTTGATTTCAGAGTCAGCTGGAGCCCTCTCAAAGTTAGCAATTTCCAAAGGCTGAATCTTCAGCTCGTGGAAACGGGCTAAGCCATCCTAAAATTATCAAGGGCGCAATGCTGATTTATGCCAGTATCTGGCTCACAGTTACGAGACCATGCTACACTCCCCTCCCACCCACCCGCCCCCCAAGAGGGAGAATTTTAACGGTACATTTGAAATTCTGCAGATGCATTTCAAAGTTAGTGACGGAAGACTGCTGTTTTTTTTTCCACCTGCGGAGAAAAATAGCAAAAAGGCATCCTGATGTTACAGCAACAAGAAAGTGCAGTTGTAATGGTTGCTCTTACCAGTGTGAGTTCTGATGTGTCCTTGAAGTAGCCAGGGTCTAGAGAAAGCCTTGCCACAGATCTTGCAGACACAAGGTAGCGTGTGGGTCCTGATGTGCATCTTAAGCGCTCCCAGGCTGACATACTCCTTGTCACAGTACTTGCAGCTGAACGATTTCCTAGACTGGGCATCGCAGTGCAGCTGCTTATGTTTGGCCAACCCAGAGAAAGTCGAATAGGTCTTGTTGCATAAACTGCACTGAAACTTTTCGGCTTCGATCGCATGGGGGTCTGAAAGCTTGGACTGGATTCTCTCTTCTTCATCGCTAATGGGACTTTCTGAACCGCCGTGATCTTTGGAGGAGGTGTCAGAAGGTGGAGGTGGGCTGACTCTTCCCAAAGACGAGGGGTATCCAGAAAGCGGAGAGAGGTCGTTGGGTAATGGAGACGGTAGCAGCCCAGTTGTAGTCCACACAGTAATGGGATTGTAGGCTACTGAGCTCAGGATCTCTGGCTGTGGTATGATAGGGACTGGGTAGCTTTCATACAGGTATGGGGATATAATCACTAGAGAAAGAAGAAAATTTTAAAGTAAGAGAACCAAAAAGTATTTCAAAAGGCAGCAAAATTAGCATTTGGGGGATTAAAAGGTGCATAAATGAATCAGTACGGTCACCTGAACACAAGGAGGACTAAGGAAATACTATTTCATACATACATTCTGATGAGTAGAGACAGTGCCCTTGAACAGACAAATTACAGTTGGAGAGTCTCTTCAAGGCAGCATGCTGCTTCTAAACCTCGGCAGCCTGATACAACGAAGCAGTGAAACTCCCTCAAGGATTTGCACAAAAGTTTCAACCCCAGCGCCGGCAGATACAGAACAGGAAAGCTGCAAATCCTCTCTAAGCAACTCGAGTTCAAGTGGGCGAGCAAACTTTGACGGTTCACCCTGGGCAGCACTGGCAAATTTCTCAAAACTCCCTCCTCGCAGGCAAAAGGGAGCAGAGCTCGCACGGAACGAGCGGAGCCCGCCGAGCCTGGGGAGCAATCCCACCCCTCCGCAGCACTGCCACGCCGCGACCGCGACCTCAGCAGCAACGCGGTGCCGCTCGCTTCGGCTTCGTTACCTGTGTGAGTGTCCAGCTCGCTGTAATTCGGCTTCTTGGAGGCATTGAAATGTTTCTTGACCAGGAAGGAGCGTGGCATTTTGGATGCAAGGCTTCTCCTTCTTCCAGGCT